AACCTGATTACTGCACTGCTATTCTCACTCCTAGCATTTTCACCTACATCTAGAGTGATGACAGTGACAGCAGCATTGCAGACTATGGCTTTTAGCATTACTGTTATTTTTATGGTACTGTACTGGGAAAGAAGTTTAAATTGCATTGTAGTTTCTAATAATGCATCTGGTACCAAAATGTAGCCTCAAACTGCACTATTGTTCAAATACAGAATAAGTGTGTTCTCTCTGTCCAGGAGATAAAATGTGTGGAAAGATCTCTTGCTGTTTCCTGGTTTCCCTCCTGCTGACGGTGTCCTTGGCGGCCCCAAATGTTCATGAGGATCATTCAGTAGATCACCATCAACATCTCCACCATGGCAAGGATGAACCTCACCCCAGCCATGATGGAGATGAGCACTTGTCCCAGAGACTCGCCCCCCACAATGCTGACTTTACCTTCTCCCTCTACAAGAAGCTGGCAGCCGATCCAGAAACTCAAGGCAAGAACATCTTCTTCTCTCCACTGAGCATCTCCATGGCTCTGTCCATGCTGGCCCTGGGAGCCAAAGGTGAAACCCACTCACAGATCTTCAGCACCCTGGGCTACAGTGCCCTCACTCCTGATCAGGTCAATGAAGGTTATGAGCACCTTTTTCACATGCTGGGTCACAGCCAGGACGCCATGCTGCTGGAGGCAGGAAGTGCTGTAGCCGTCCGAGAAGGCTTCAAACCTGTGGACAAGTTTCTAAAGGATGCTCAGCATTACTACCAAGGAGAGGCCTTCAGTGTGGACTTCTCCAAACCTGAAGTCGCTGTGCAAGAAGTCAACAAGTACATCGCCAAAAAGACCAAAGATATGATCACTGACATGATCAAGGAACTGGACCAGGACACTATGATGATGCTTATCAACTTTATGTATTTCAGAGGTACAGTAGGCACCTAAACATTTAATCAGAAATGAATATCCTTCTCAATTATATCAAGTTTATGTAAAAACAGCCATAACAAGCCTTGAATTCTGCCCTCTAAGGTAAATGGGAAAAGCCTTTTAACATAAATTACACCAAAAAGGCAGACTTCCATGTGGATGAGAACACCAAGGTGACGGTGGACATGATGAGTAAAGAAAGCTATTACGAGTACTACAGGGACCGGAATAATTTCACTTCGATCATCATGGTCCCCTACAAAGGCAACACTTCCATGATGATTGTTCTACCTGATGAGGGAAAGATGAAGGAGCTGGAGAAGAACATCAACAAGGATCACCTCAAGTACTGGCATGACAGATTATATGGAAGGTAACCCCAGTCATCGGGCTTTTAATTTTATCTAGAACATTACAAATCAATTACCTACAAGTAACATTAATTTCATATTTTATTTCTTGTCAATTTATTGTTTATTTATTTGAAGGAAATCACATTAGGATTGTGGATTAGAAAATGGTCTTGGGCATAACATTTAGGCTGGTTGCAAGGGTGAATTAGTTTAAGTCAGATTTCACCAAGAATTCATTTGCTGAAAAAAATAGAGTGGATATATTCATAACAAAATAAACAGTACAAAAGAACAAAGGCCTCCAGTCCTCTTTTGGGGCTGTATCCTCTCTGTCAAGGTGTCACAATGGAGAGACTGAGTGCTTCCCTATTCACCCTATTCATGGCAGATCTCCTTGCAGCTCGTAGGGTCAATCTTTGCCCTACTGGGGGCAACGCTTCCACAGCTGCTCTCTGTTCACTATGCTGCCCAATACACTGTAGACGCCAGCGAGTGTGTTGCTTGTGTGTATTGGAGAACCCAACTCTCAGTTTTGGCCAACCATGCCACCGGTGCCTGCATGAAGCTTTGCTGGAGGGCCGTGGTCATTGCTGCCAGGCCAGCACACTGCTTTGCCGGCAGGCCGTTGTCAGCCACCGTCCTCCAGCCTGGGCTCCACTGCTGAGCCTTGCGTGCGGCTTCTTGTTCTGCCATCCTTGCCACCCACCCTCACTACGTGGCTTCTTCTTCCACAGTCCTATGCCAGGCTTGGTCTTCTCCACTGTTTCCCCTTTCAGTTTGTGGAAGCACCATTTCCCTCCAGACCGCAGGGGGGCACTATCCCACTTCTAGCACCAGTGTGGTGTCAGCATAGGACAAGATGAGGGAAATGTAGTGCTTTAACCGAATGCTCTTTTATTGAACGGCAGCAAAGGAGAACTGCCACTATTGAAACAGCTGAAACAGTGGGCAGGTCACTTCCAGCCATACACTGTCCATACATGGTAGAAACTTAATACTGCTTAACTACCCTACAACCCAACACAGATTAGCACAATAAGCACGCTTTAAACTAACAACAACAACTTATTTACAAATAAGAGTCTTTCCGCAACTACGGTGCCTGCTACTCTGCATGGCCACGCCTCCCGCACTCCCACAGCAGCATGAGCCAGCAGTTGGATGCAACAATATTTTCTATATTCTACATAAAAAAACAACACGTACATAGTGCTGCTTTCAAAAGGGATTCATGTGCATTCAGTAAATTGCTACCCAGTACTAACTGGTCATTAAACTACCAGCTCTGGCCTGATAGTCCAAATGATTCTAATTGACTGGTTTGTTTTCAGCAAACAATAGTCACACACACACACACACACACATATATATATATATATATATATATAATGTATATATATATAATACTATATATATATATATATATATATATACACACACGTATACATATCCTGCATTAAAAAAAAATAATGACTCACAGTAAATTATTATCAGTCTAAAAGGCTCTTACAGTAATTTTCAGGATTTATGTTAGGCTTCAAGATTTAAAAATTTGTTGAAAGCTTCACAAATAGCTTTGCAGTAACATAACATAGCAAATCTTGTACAGTCACTTGTGGGAGTTAGCGTTATTGTAGCGGTGGTAAAGGCATTTACTACAGTAAGTAGTGTAGGAAGCCACATTGCCATGTGGGAGTAGATATTTTGTAAACCTTTTCTTGTTTTCAAATTTGAACCTTTAGATTTTTCTGTCCAGTTGCCATGAATTCCAAAATGATGATTTTGTGATAAAGTGACTTTAAGAAGTATGAAAGATTCCTCTCTTCTGCTGTGCAGTTATGTGGAGCTCTTCATGCCCAAGTTCTCCATCTCTGCCTCCTTTTCACTTGCGGACACTCTGAAGGAAATGGGAATAGTCAGTGCGTTCTCAGACAGTGCAGATTTCTCGGGGATCAGTGAGGAGACCGACCTGAAGGTTTCCAAGGTAGAGGGATCTAAAGATGTTCATCATATGCTTGTAGGCTAACCTAATGCAGCCTAGATTAAGGTACAGTGCATTTGTGGCATGCATTACAGATCTAGAGCTAATCCTTCACCTCACATGGATTTGTGACTTCCCACAGGTCCTTCATCAGGCCGTCCTCAAAGTTGATGAGAAGGGCACTGAAGCAGCTGCTGTCACCACCATAGAGATGCTACCTGATTCAATCCCTCCCACCGTGAAACTCAACAGACCCTTCCTGGTCTTCATTGTGGAGGACAGCACCAAGAGCATCCTCTTCATGGGCAAGATAACCAATCCCACCGCATAGAGGCAGCCAAGTCCCACCCACACCAGCAGACCTGAATGACTGTTGAAATGCTATTGAAATACTTTCAACAAACAGCCAATCAAAAAAGCCATATTGACTGTATATGAAGTTAAGGTTAAAGTCCACGTGTAAAATGTACATAGAGGAAGAAGCCCCTCATGGTAAGATGTCACCACCCTCTCTCATTTGATCTGAGTGATGGAATTCACATTCATATTATCCCTGGATAATAGAGATGAACTCATTACATAAGAAACATTTTTTTTAAATACATGACTACAGGAGGATGTGAAAAATTAATTAATTTGTTATAGTGTTTTTCTATGAAGTTAGACCTTAATTATGCCAAAATAAGACTGTCATATAGGTTGTGAACAGAAATAAACACATTATGAATAATACTGTAACATGGCAGAATGATTTAGACGCTCACAGGGTAAAAAAGCTAAAAAAGTCTTTATTGTTTGAGTCAGAATCCAGAGTCGTAGTCAGTACACAGGCATGGGCCAAATCCAAAAAGGACAGGCAGCACAAAAAGACAAACCTAACAAACAGCAAACAGTCCAAGAGGGTTAGGCAAAAAGGCAAAGTCGAAAAACAGGCAAAATGGTCAGAATCAGAAATCACAACAATACAAAGAAACGCTCAGTAGCTCTATGAAATAGACACAATACCTCACAATGACTAACTCTGAAAGCTCAGGCTTTATACTAACACTGACTACCAGTGACAGGTGAAACACACCAGTACTCAGGAGAATGAGATCAATGACTGGAGCAAGCGGAGGGGTCAGGAGTCATGTGATCCCCCAGAAGGTTCTGGAAGATGGAGTCTGAGTAGTTCTCAGGGCTGGAGGGTTGCGTGACAAATACTATAATTTTATAAGAAAATAGTCTCAGTTAGTCAAAACATTTGTAAAATAAGTCAGATCAGTGTGGACATTTCTACATGATGCTGATAACTGATTGCTACAGGTTCTACTTTGACTGGAACAATTTCTCTTCGATCATCATGGTGCCTTACAAAGGCAACACTTCCATGATTGTTCTACCTGATGAGGGAAAAATGCAGGAGCTGGAGAAGAACATCAACAAGAATCACCTCAAGTACTAGCATGACGAGTTATTCGACAGGTAACCTCGGTCACCAGGCTAATTATTTGTAAACCCCTTTAAATCTCAGGCTTATTACATGTTTAGGTTTATTATTCAGTAACTACAGGAACTTAAATGCAAACTGGCTGAGCTATTCTTAGAATGTTCTTCAGATTGATGGAGAATGTGTCGTACATGGTTCTAAATAGAACCTTTTTGAAAAAGATTTTATATAGCACCAACAATGTTTCTGCTATAGTTACGATATCAAGCTTGTAATGATAGAGGAATCCTTTTTGGTGCTATAAAGGGCCATATCCAACACAAAGAAGAACCATTTCCCCATGTAAACAACCATTTAATCATGCAAAGGTTTCTTTGAGTGTCTGGTTCTATATAGAGCCACTATCTTTACTAAAGAACCCCTGAAAAACCATCTTTTTAAGATTGTAGAATAATAAGTAGATTGAAAATATTCATAGTGAAAGAAACAAAAAAAATACAAAAAAGAAAGTCAATCAAATGAAAAGAGCAAAACGTAAACAACAAAACAAGAACACTGAGGAAGATGAACAAATTAGAACTAAACCTACAAAGGAACAAAAATAGACCACAAAGCAAACAGTCATATTCGTCACAGGGCTTCAGACTGTAACTAAAATCATCGCAATTGCGACCAAAATTATTAATTTGCAAGTGATAAAATTAACTCGCCAGTGGCGACAGGTAGCAACTTTGGATTATTATTTTTTTGTGGGTAACTATTTATTAATATTGTTCTGTACTTATTACTTTTTTGTTTTTATGTATTTTCTTTCATCATTTTTCGTCTTAAAACGTAACTGATAGCCCCAGCCCGTCCTGTCTCATAATACCACTTTACACCACAAGAGGCAATAGTGAGTCACTGCAGTGCCAAGTCTGCCATCAGTCCAACATAAGAGGATAAAGAGGATAGCTCTTGACGAAGAAAGAGATGAGGTTTGATGCTGAACTTGCAACATTTCTTCTAAACTGGTAAGGAAAGGAAGGAGTAAGGAGACAGAGGAGGGATTGTGTGTTTCCTTGCTTCTTACGATAGGGGTGGACACCACAACCTTCTTGCAGTATTTTGCCACCTGTTTGGAATGTGGAGAGTGAATTTGACAGGTGGTGTCATCTTACAGTTTGTTCCTTTAAGACAGGGGTCACAAATGTCATTTTGTCCTTTCAAGAAAAATCAAACCACTTTGGGAGCTGCAACATTCTGTGTCCATTGTACCATCTTGGTTGTAAATATGTCTCAGTATGTGCTAATATACTAGTATAGGCTAAAAATATAAACTAAAACTCAGGGTTACTTTGCTCTGCTTTAAGCTTTAATTCAAACTATAGCCACTTTTCCCGCATCTCCAGCAGGAAACTTTTTCCCTAAAGTAAAATAGTTCCTTGTAAAATGTCTTTCAACATTAGTTTTTTTGCGAGGCTGAAGTCAGCTTCTCGTTCACCAGCTTCTTGTTTGAATTTTCACATTCCACCTTAAACAGTGCCTGACTGCAGAATTCAACTGCTGCACCATGTAAGGTGGAACAGGAACAAGAAGCTGGTGAATGAGAAACTGACTTCAGCTTCATGACTTTTTAGAGCTTGACCGTTTGTCATTGCAGATTAAATGTATCAAGAAACCAGCTGGAGTGATTATAAATGCAAATAAGTTCATTCATCTCCGAATTATCGATGTTCGTCTTAAATCTTTCTCTTTGCCTTTTTGTTAACTACTAGCTAGACGAGATTGTTGTCTGCGTTGCTATGGCAGTCTGCGCACAAGTCTTCAGGGTTCGGTCAACAGAGCTTTATTTAACTGCAAAGGAGGATTATTTTATTTTTACCTAAAATCTAATTCTGCTGTTGAGCCACAACAGGGCAGTAAAAGAGCTGCATTGCGGCTTTAAGACATTGAAAAAGAAATGTCAAAAGGACTTTGCTTTTCCATATGAACCTTTTCCAGCCATTATACACAGAAAAGCAAATCCAAATATACATTTTGGATTTGAATTTGAATCATGTCTTTAATAATGCACACTCACACTCGAAATGCAATTTTAAATACACAACTGAATTAGCATTTGAATTTAAATAAAATCAGGAATATGCTGCCATATTTTGCAACCAGGCATTAAAATCTATCTTTAATGGAGGTCCGGTCTGTGATAGCTGATGCATGTTTAAACCCAGCATTGAGTCACTCCAGTTTAAAGGCGAGAAAATCTGGTTGTCCCAAAACGATCAGTTTACCTGTGTTGTCCGGCTGAAATTAATGTACACGTAGTAGGTTTCCATGACGTGCCCATGTCTCCTTATTTTGTTGACATTTGACATAAATGTAGACTTTTAATAAGACTTAAAAACAAACTCGAATCGGAGGCGTTTAATCAATGTAAACAGGAAAAAATTCTTCATAAATATTTTAGCTCACACAATTGATTAGCTTGCTAAATTAGCAAACTTAATTTACAGATTAACATTAGCACTGGCCTTATATTAACATGCATGGTAAACATTAAAATATGAATTATTGTTCATGTGATATACACAACGGCCATTAGTCTTGTTTGTGTGCAGTTCAACCAGATACTTATGGTCAACAACAGATGTTAGAGCCCATATGTCAAACACAAAGATGTTCAAACTGGGGTCCTCGTGCACAATATTTTAATGTTACTTCATCAATGGATGGTCAGGAACATTAACAAAAAAAGTTACAGCTAACATAATCTCTATTTGAATTCACTGAATGACAGAAAGGTAACGTTAGCCGACGCAAACCAAGAAGTATTTTGTTTTGTTGCAAGTTTTCCCATCAGTCAATTTGACCAGTCATTTTAACAACTTTTTATGGGTATGTTATAACTTAAAGCTACATTGAAGTATGTCATTTGGTGCAACCGGTTAAATTCTAGTAGCTCGTAAACTTGAACTTAGTGGCGGTTTATGTTTAAACTAGGCTACGATCAAACTTTTGTTCAGTTGGTGTAACTGGCTGCTGGCCCACGACACAATCCTATCCAGTCAGTGAAATTATTTTCATTTTCTATTAATATTAGCCTGTTTTACAATGCATTGCACTGCAACACCCAGCATGCACTGCAAACTTTTGTGAGCTTCCACCCACTTCTTCAAACCACAATTCTACACTTTTTTACACCAGTCACATCACCAAATGCACCAACTGCATTTCCGCTGCAGTTCAACCAACATAAACACTATAAACACTATAAACTATTTTTTGTATTTTGAATACACAGTGGCCGGTTCAGGTTATATCAAAACTTTATTTAAAAATAAATAAAAACAAAAGTGTGCTCTTTATTAATGTGGCCCTTTTAGTGGCAGAGTTTGACTCTCCTGTGTTAGAGCAAACACCAAATATGCAGCAGATACACTTTAACCATTAATGAGACATGCTAGCACGCCCATGTGGAGCGAGCTCCACCCATTTGGCACTAGCTCAACCCATTTATAGCCCTGCCCATTTGGAGCTGGCTTCAGTCTGCAGACACACGCGAAGACGGAGAAAAAGTAAACACAGCCTCCTCAAATTTCTCATCTGTAGAAATTGTCTTCGAAGAGCTGCAGATTTTAGAACATCCTGTTTGTGAACTTCCTCGTAATGATCAGGTGAGAAATGATCACTGCATACACAGAGTTTTTGGACTCCTCCATTTTCCTGGTCAACCTTAAATGCTGCAGCAGTTATATTATTACCTGTCTGTAAATGTTGTGCATAATAAACTGATCTGTTTAATTCTGAAGTAATTAAAACTAGTATACAATAAATTAATATGACAGTACTTTTCATCCGCATGTATATTGTCCATTTTGGAGCTTCTCTTAGCTGTGTTTAGCAAGAGAAACAGATCTAAGCAAGCAATCATGCTACTTTATTTACTTGTTTATTTATTTTGCATGTCACAAGATGAACATAATTCAGATTCTGTGATATATACATATATATAATCTTTAATAGAAGTAAACAGAAAACAATCGTACTGATAAATACTTTTTGTACTGTTTGTTGCTTTCTGTAGTTCCACCGTTGTTTGGCGTTGTTTTCTGTTCGGTGAATGCGTGCACAAGAGGACATGGTTTGTCAAAGGGAATGTGAATTTGAGGGGGAACTGAATTAAATACAACACCGACATCTGTACAGGCACCAGGGTGAAACTGCTGCACCATTTAAGGTGGAACGGGAAATTTGAATAAGAAACTTATGAAGAAGCGAACTGCAGCTTCGTAATGAGGCTTTTACTGAACAGTTCGTGGTTCGTTGTTAGAGGTGATGTGCCGACACCACACCTGGATTCCTTTGTTCTGTTTATTGTTTATACAAAACACCTAATTTCACACCTTTATCGTTATTTGAGATGCAGCTTCCAGCGAACTGACTCACACTTATGGAGCCTTAGATGGGTTACAAACAAACATACCCGCGCAGTGGCAGAGGAGCACTACAAAGTAGAGCGTTAACATTTGGCTGCTTGTGCTTAACCGTCTGGGCTCTGAGGGCATTTTCTTTATTTTTGCATATATTCTTAAATTCACCCTTAAAGCCACTTGCATACGATATGAAACCTACATATTTCTCTCATATCTGTCTCTGTAATGAGGCTCTTTTGACCTGGAGTACTGTGTACAGAGACAATTCACTCCTGAAGCTGAAAAACTGAAATCTAATTTTGTTGTACTCATGTGGATGAATTGTTTTGGATGAATTTGTTTTGAAACGGGGTTAACAAAGTCTCAGGTTCACAAAAGTAGTGGAATGTATAAATAAAACAGTAGATAAATGTTCTCCTCAATACTACTTTCCAAAACTGCTGCAGTAACTTCAGCAGCTGTAAACTCTCTGCACGCCATTTCACATGTGTCTCTGATGTGGACTGAATGAAGAATGAAGGGTTTCCAGCATGACAAGTTAGTCTTCAGTGTCCATTAGTCAGTTTCACACAAATTGTAGATGGACACACGAATCCACCAGTTCCACACAGTGAGAGGCAGATGACGTGTGTCATCCTCTCTTCACAGCCTCATAACTCCAGATGTGAGTCACATACGATCTCGTGATAAGATGGAATGGAAAGGGCGACTCTACAGATTCAGGAAATGTTTGAACTGTATTTCTGTGCTGTGTTATCACAAAGATATTAAAAGAAACACAGGGAAATGTCTAATTTGACATGCTGGCATGTTTGTTGAATGCAGAGGGTTAACAAATCAAGAGGAATCTTGGAACGATATCATCATCATTGTTTTCTTTTTCTATGTTAACTACATCTATGATACCCAAATCATTATTCTATCTATTTTCCATATATAACAAAACTAGAGAATTCTGTTGTAAAGTACTTTTCTTGAGTTTCAGTGGTAGCCTGTTTCTGCTGATAAATTCGACACAATATCTTAACATCGTAGTAGGTTTTATTTTGTAAATTACCACATCATTATTTAGTTCCATTATAAGCAAATAAGCAAAAATGAATAAATTAAATAAGCAGCACCCTATTAAAGGTAAAAAAAAAAAACTAAAATGTAACTTACATTCAAATGGGAAACAAGAATAAATAAACATTGTACCCAAATCAAATTACAGTTAAACAAACTATAAGGCAACTTTCAGGCAATATCTCACCGATATTCATAAAGTGGCCTGTTATAATCATACTGCAGAATTGGGCATCTTTGCTCCTGACACTGTGGTGCTTCCTATTAATGAAGCAGCACAACATAGTCAGAGCTAATTTGTAGGTCAATAGTGTCATAATAATGTGCCACTTGTTGAGTGTCTGCTTTCCATTTCCGTTTTTACCTGAGAAACCTCCTCACGCTTCTTTCTTCTCAGTCGGAATACAGGCTGATGATCACCTTTCAGGGGGGGATTGGATTTGGATTCCTCTGTCCAGTGAGCAAACAGTTTTCCATGGCTGGAAAAATATTGAGGAAAAAAGACTCAATGTGTGTACCATGCAAAAACTTACCGAGTTATTTAAATTTTAATAAATGAATATATTATTCAAACACAACTGAGATACCTGTCCAGTCCACAGTTCTCCATCAGCATCAAACACCACCATTTCCACAGGTATGCCATGTCATGCTGTACATAAAACATAGGTAGATGTCCAAGGAAATATTTAAAAATTAAGGTCTGTCCAAATGATATTAGAAATAGTAAAATGTAATTACAAATGCGAAATCAAAGGGTGCGTCTAGCACTATGGAAAAGGCAGAAACATACAAATCCTTACTGTACATGCACTCAGCAAACTGGAATTTCAACTTACACATGCATAAGCAAAGAAGAACCAAATGTGCCTTTTCCAAAATGCATTCGGACTAGCTTGAAGCAGGTCATAAGATCGTGACCATCTCAGAACAGAACGTGCACTCCATTTCATCTAGTGACCTTAACAGAGTTGTGTATCTCTGGGCACTAAATCCAAGTGGTGGCTGAGTGTGTTTAGATCTTTCTCTGGCCTCAAAACCTAAAGGAGACATGCAGTCTTGGTTCTCATTAAAAGGAATCTAACATGACATTCTCAAATCTAGGGAAAGGGATAATACAATCATATACAACAAATACTGCCACTGATATTTCTTATTTCATATAAACAGTAGTGCCATGGTTTAAATTAGACTATATGTGCCACTTGTTTGACTGTAATGCAGTGATGGTATTTTTAAAGTGTACACAATAATAATGTTGTGTCTATTGGATATCACAGTATACCTTATTATGGAACATCACACATGGCTAAAACCGTTCATGAGGTCTGTGATTGGTTTCAGGAACATGATGTGGAAAACCTAACCGTGCCGAACTCTTGCATGCCTTTGCACTGAGGACAGTCAATTTGTATGCTGGTCTTTCAATGTCCAGTACATAGATCAGCTAATTAAAAGACCGATATTGTAAAAGCTATTGTCAATTACTGATTTTGAGGAAACACTCTGTGTAATTTTAATTTTATACAACTGTGCTTGGTAAAATTCAAGATGCCTGACAGGCAGTAATGTTCTCACACTTTGTGAATGTTTCACGCTGAGGTCCACAAAACTCTGTTCGTTGAGAAGTAGAAAGAGAAATGAAGTATGTTAACAGCAGGATCACAAGGAACTAAAAACACAAACAATAAATAAATTAATAAATAAATAAACCACACACACATACATACATACATACATAAAACAAGGGACTGACCTGGATATGGCCTGACCTGTAGTTGTGTTGCATGCTCGACTCCTAACAACAGAAAAACATCTTGTCCGTCACTGGCTTGGGAGGCTGGGGAAGATGGGTAAGAACTAAAGATAAGGAGGGATTATGTACATAACTAAAAAAAAAAAACATATATAAAGCATACATAATGTGTAGGCAACCAACTTAGTATAAAGAACCAACTTAAGTCAGAGAGGGTGATATTTTCAGTTTCATGGGGTCTGTGGCCATGTTGAACCAGTAGTTCCAGAAGTTTCTTATTTTTTGCCTTGTTCTTGTGATGAATAATGTTGAGCATCACAAAGATGTGTGTTGATGCCACCATGTTATTCAGAAAGCAGTTGTTCTTATAAAAACTTGCCAAAAAAATGCTCTGCAATTTGACTATTTAGCCAACCTTGCAGTTCTAGGGCCAGGTTGATTTTCCTGAGGATGTCCTGAGGGTCTTTTGTGTTGGAATCATGCATTTTGTCATACAAGATGTACAGTTTTTCCAAGACAAAAACAGATCTGCTTAATCGCTATGACTCTCTTCCCTCAAACTGAACTGCCATGTGGGCAAAGGACAACTGACCACCCACCTAGAAAATATACCCATGTATAAATAAAGCAGAACATGTAACAATTAGAGATGAACTCTAATCATGAATAAAACACTCAGTTTAGCTAGATGGCATTTACTTGTTGGTTTGCATTTATTAGATGTTTATTTTTATTTATTTACTCTACATATTTAGTATTTACTATTACATAATTAGAAGAAAAAAACGTAAATTTATTACATTTAATTTAAATACTTTTATTGCGTAAAACAGTTAAAAACAGAACTGAACAGTATACAGATAAACCTGTGGTGTTTACACTTCAGCACACAGCAGCTTCTCTGGCTCAAAAACAGAGCTGAATGTTGTTTCACATCCCAATTTCTCAAGTCGTTTGTCTCATACATGCATCTTGTTCTCTCGTGCTGCATCTCTGAGTGTCAGTTCAGTAAATATCACTGTCATTTAAGCTTTCAGTATCAGTGACTTTCAGTGTTTTTTCTGTCTTGACTGAAGTGACAGACCATGAGACCCCACTGCTAGTGGATGCACAGGCCCAGCTAGCAGGCTACTATTCTAAAGGCTAAATCGAGGCTAAAGGCACCATCATCATTACGCCGAGATTCTGGCGGGTCCTTTCACTCCCTCAATAACATTAACTCAGACTGTGACCACATAGCGGCAGACTAGTGATTACGACGTGTTGAGTTCTGTCTACTGGTGTGCACTATTTAGTACACTATTTAGTATCCCGTCATAGCAGAATGCATATTTTTATTACTAAATGTTGTAAAAATATTGGCTTGAAGACATAACCATGAGCATGCTGATTGTTTTTTTTTTTTACTAAATTGAAGAAAAAAAAACTATTTTACCCATGTGTGGTGTTCGGGTCTGTTGGACCCATTTTCAGTGTTCACCACTGTACACACCCCTACACATTTATATTACACATGTGGTGTTGTGGTGAACCCACAGAGAATAAAAGTGTGGAGGTGCTGTGTCCCTTCACTCTGTTCTCCTCCTACATAGCCTGCTGTCAGTGTGTGTGTGTCTGTGTGTGTATGTGTTTGTATATGTGTGTGTGTCAACATGGACAAGCTGCTGACTGGCTACAGCTGCTAAAGGAGAACCCTACGCTGGCTACTTGTGATATTTTAAACATCTGTTTTTTTACATAAATTAATACGGCTGTATTGATTTAAAAAAACAATAATGCGGTGGGTCCACCAGAACCCACTGAGTAACAAAAACATGAATGTCACACAAGGGTTAAAAAGATTTTTGAAGCAACTATATTCACATTTTGGCATGTATTTACAGAGATGAGTTTGGTGACAAGCCAAGTTCAGATTAGCCTAGCATCTCCCGCTGTAAACTAGAGAAGCAGATGTCAGACATCAATCATGCCTTGGCTGGTCAACTGTATCTGGGGTGATTGATAAGTCATATTTATACTACACTAACTAAGTCCACTAAAGATGTCATTCTAAAGATGTATAATGTAAACATCTTGTGTGTATAGCATTCTGATTGCTTTCACATGCAGTAATCAGTTTCCTCAAGTGTTTGAAACAGTTCTAGAGTGTGTTTGAGTTTTATGACACATAAAATGATCCATTTTGAGGCATGATTAGTGAAACACACATTCCAGATAATTCAGCAGATTTAACAGGTTAGCTTGCAGTTTTGTTGCAGACAAATGTATAAGATGAGTCTTTAGCTGAAGAGACCTACCCCTTCTCATTCTCATGCAAACAAATCCTCTCTAAACCAGAATACATTCTGAACATTGAAGAGTACAGTATGGTGTCCCACTGGGCTCCGTTACTGTTCTCCCTTTATTTACAGTGACAATCTGTAAACGCATGACAACCTTCATTTTTGTCCTAATGATACTCATTTATATGTGTCAGCTTAGCCAGATACAGTGACACAGTTGAAACATAATGGAAGATCATGTTAAAGATTTAATAACCCGGATTACCAGAAACGTACTCTTGCTGACAGAAGTGATATTTTGTGCTCTCATTAAGTGGAAATAACAATAGTTTTTCAGTACAAAAAAAAAAATGCTGTAAAAGACCTGTAACTCTGGATACTAGTTCACCATTTGAATCCCATATCAATAATATCACTAAGATTTTATTACTAGAGATATATATCCAAAATAAAACACATACTAATCCTACTACCTTACTGCAGGCTCCAACTACTTCAGAATACTTCAGTGGTCACTGAGAATTATTGGCCTCCTGTTACATTTTGCATTAACAAGCTCTCACATATGCCAAGTTCCAGCATATCTTACTGATTTGTTAAAGCATTATAGTCCATCCGGACCACTTCACCCAGCTCAGGCTGCTTACTGAAAAAAATTTAACTTTTCCCTAGTGGAAGGAAAGGGGCTATATAAATAATAGTTATTAAATGACAATATTATGTTTTAACTTCTTTAATCTTAAAAAAAAAACAACAAACTGGAAAATCATGAATTTGTGATTGTCACTTCCTCTTTTTCACTGTGCAGAGTTGTGGATCTGTTCATGCCTAGGTTGTCCATCTCTTCTTCCTTTTCAGTAATGGACACTCAGAAGGAAATGGAGATAGTTGATGCCTCAGAAACTGCAGATTTCTCTGGGATCAATGAGGAGACCAAACTAAAGGCTTCCAAGGTAAAACATGCTTATATTCTAAATTGGAAATGAATGCAGAGACTAGATGAAAGTGTGTGATGTTTAGAGACAAACCTTCACCTCACGTACGGGTGACTTCCCCGCAGGTCCTCCATGAGGGCATCCTCAAAGTTGATGAGAAGGGCACTGAAGCAGCTGCTGCCACCTTCATGGAAGTTAAAGTTGTGTCTAGGCCACCCACTATTAACTTTAACAGACCCTTCCTGTTCTTGATTGCGGAAAACTGCAACAAGCACATTCAGGGGCAAGATAACCGATCCCACCGCATAGAGGCAGCCAACTCCCACCCACATCAGCAGACCTAGATTGCTTGATCTGCTGTTTGTTGAAATAAAAGTGCTTCAACAAACAGCAGATCAAGCAAAAGCCATACTGTTAAATTTAATGGGAGGCTTCATGTGAAGTTAACAGCAACCAAAGTGTTGAGTTAAATAAAATACAGCATTGTCAATTAATTTACACAGTGTTGATGTTTTTGTCGGCCAAATAAAGTGAGTCACATTGTGAACCGGAATAAATACAATATGAAAAGTACGCTTCTAAAAACACGTGCCAGAAAGGGATATTTGGGGGCCTCATAAGAACCATGTTCAGTAACAGTTCTTATGAGTTCAATTTTGGTAAATAAGATGTGAGACTACGGAGAACCATTTTACAGTTGAAAGAACCTCTACATAATGTAAAGGCTCTAGAAAGAACCATTGAATTCATAAAGAAACTTTATATTTTTGCAAAATATTTGCAATATCAGGTGAATTTTTAAATGCAAACTAGTCCTAGATTTTTTACCCAACCTTCACAACTATCACAAGAACCAGAAACTTTAACCATATTAGCCCTGTTTTTTCAAACCTACACTGGCTGCCAGTTAAATTTCGCATTGAGTACCAAACTCTTTCACTGACATGTCAAGTTCTACACAGCCTCACCCGTCAGTACCTGAGTGAACTTTATTTTGAACCATCACGCCTACTTAGATCACAAAGTGCTGGCTTACTGTTATTACCTAGAATTAATAAAGTTATATCAGGGGGTAGGGCCTTTTCATACAAAGCCCCCCAGCTTTGGAATAATCTTCCGGTCAGTGTTCGGGACTCAGACACAGCCTCAGTCTTTACGTCTAGGCTTTCCTGTTAGATAAAAGTTGCAGATCTGGAGGTTCATGGACAGAGTATTATGGTAAACTGGGAGTGTTAGTGCTGTCGCCAGCTGCTCTCCCGTGCTCACTCAGTTTTGTTGACAGTGGAGTGGAGGGGTGCTGACATCTCAGGGAGCCCTCATGTCTCTGTTACCTTTCTGGCTCTCCCTCTTAGTTAGGCTGCAATAGCTCGACCTGCCGGAGTCTCTGCTGCACTCTGTTAACCCTGTAAAATGTAATCAGTCACTCTTCACAGAACTAACTCTGTGTGTTTCTGTGCTGAGCTGAATAACTGCCCATCCTGTGCATCTTATGCTGTTGCTTCATCTGCCTTGATCAAGTGCCCACTGCTCACCAGCCTTCTGGACTGGTTTGACCACCATGGTGAGCTACGTTGTACAAACCTCACCTGTATGAACCGGCCCTTCTGATGATACCGCTGCATTTTTTAAATCATAGACATTGCTACTCCTGCATTTCCCCTTTTGGCATATGTTATACTAATGATCAAATCTCTTTCTCTACTGTTATTGTTTGCTGTCTGGTTTTCCTTTTGGGTTCCTCTTTTGAGTCTTGGTTTCTCTTAAGGTTTGGGGAGTTTTTCCTTGCCATGGTCTCCATTGGCAATGCTCGTGGGGTCTTGGACTTGGATTTTCCTGTAAAGCTGCTTTGTGACAACACCTGTAATAAATAGTTTGACTTGGCAAATTTTTGCACTGCTGAATTTTTTTTAAAATTTGTAATATGTGCATATATGTAAGAAATATATAAATATTGTTTTAAGTAAATACAAATAAAAACAATACTGACAGATTTTGAAAAATATAAGTTGGTATATTTTATAAAAAACCTTGTATCTCCATTTTGTAATTTGAATTACAGTTGCCCTTTATGTTGTGTTAAATTTTCATAATGAACAGACAGAAATAGTCTAAAATTACCTGGAAAAAATATTTCTTCATTTTCTGTTAAAACTTAAAAACATTTTTTCTGCTCAAACACACCTGATTACACTCATCTATTAATTGCCATGTTTAGTGGGGTGTTTGAGCAGGGCAGCCACCAAACTGTGCTGGACACCGGCCCTCTAGGACTGGAGTTGTGCAACTCTGGTGTATGTAGTTTTGTAACAGTCTGACCAAACTCGGCAGTTACTAATAAAATCCGAACAATAATTTGGTGAGAAAAAAACATGCAAGCACCAGAATACCACAGAGCTTGCACAAGTTCGATTTTACTTAATTTTCCCCAGACCAGACAACACACTAACAGCATCAGCAACAGCAACAAAGCTTAAAAAAACAAAGCAGAAAAGCAGTTGAATATAAGATCTGCTGCAGAAGTCCATTAGGTGGGATAAAGTTATCAAAGTCCAGAGATTGTTCAAAAAATGTCAAACCGCAACCATAGTCCTAGCATACAATGTCCCCAAAATACTCAAAACAGGACCCCGCAATGCACACTTCCTTGCGGTATCTCCACAGTTAGAGGGGGATCCAACCTTCAAGGACAAAGATGAGTAGAAAAAGGAGTAAAAGTCTGTTAAGGCTTGAGCAGCAATGATCCACCAGGCCTTTATTCTCCAACCTTGACCCTCCTGTCACACTTCCCTTTCCTGTTCCCAAACCAGGGTTCATATTCAAAATAAGAGTCCCCAGTTGGAATGCACAGGAAACATTTTCAAAACAAAAATACGGAAAACAAAACATAATTAAATTACCAGAAATAGGATACAGCCACAACTCCTATCAAAACATCCCAGTGAGAAGTCAGGAAATTAAGGACTTTGTTTTCTGTGGGGTAACCTAAATAACACTACCTGAAATCTATGTTAGTGTTAATCATTAAAAATAGGTATTCCACAGATCCCCTTATGTGGTGGTGTCACAGTTTTATCTGCTCATATTTTGACAAATACAAAACCAAGCAAATTAATCCTTCAAACCTGCCTATTCAATTTGTACTGGAATGTGAAGGGTTAAATTAAAGAAGCTCCTTTGTCTCCCCCTGTCAGAATTTTGCTGCCTCTGCTGTTGCTGGAAAGACTGGTGATTGGTGGTCCAGCTATAAATTTACAGAGGGCCAAACTATAGTAAATCAATAAGAGACCAATTTCAAATGACAGTAAAATTGACTGATCATATCTTCCCTCTACAGGGGTGGGCTTTGCTATCACTAACTTTTTGACAAGTTCCGCCTGCTGTGGGGACGATTCTAGCGAAAAAAGAGAAACTCTACGCTGACACAATGACTGCACACTTGCAGTGCGAGTCCCTCCTATTTGCTGGTTTCTGTCTGCAAAGATACATAGTTGGTCTTCACTGTCTGTTTTGTGTGCACTTAGCTACTGTCCTGCCATCTGCAGCAAACTTGCTTGATAAAACTGACTGTAGAAATAAACATCTGTTTTACTTCAATTGCCGATTTGTTCAAGTGCCCACTTCCCACAGCAGAGATACTTGATCATCACCTGCTACTTTCCACGATTAAATCCAACTCCTGTTGCACAAGGAGCCGACTCCCCTTCACGTGCACAGGCATCATGTAGGCAAGGAAGCTACAAATAACACTCACGATTTTGGTTGTTTCCATGTATTGTAACATGCAGGTTCTTAGAAGAACCCTGGACAAGTTGAGGTTCTGGTACTTAATTCAGCTTTGCTGGAGTTCAATGGGAACAGTGCACAGTAAAGGCTCACACAGTTAGCTCTGCCTCTCACTCTGTTTACTAGGCTCCTGAGTCCCTTAAAATTACAGCACAACAAATGAACTAAATAACCTAAAATAAGCATATCACATTTTCCTTTTAACAAAAACAGAACAAGGCATGCACATTGCCTGCCCCCCTTTGTTCAAGAGAAGCAACCCAGCTGCTTACCAGCCCCAAGTCTTTAAAAAGTCTAGGAGTATACTGCCTCCTCTTTGAGGACTCTACCCAGTAAACATTTGGCCCTTGAAACAACGTTGAAATCACGTATCTGACTGCCGTTTAAACTACGCTTTATTAAGGTTCAAAATGAAAGTTGAAAAGACGTCTAAACTTTTCAACCGTTGAAAAAACGGCCAAAATAGTCACATTAAAGACGTCATTTAAAGGCTGTTGATTTAACGTTGAAATCACGTACATAACTGCTGTTTAATTTAAGTTTTCTTATGGTTGAAAATGAAAGTTGAAAGACATTCAAGCTTAACTGTTGAAAAGACGACCAAAAAAGTCACAGTAAAAACGTCATTTTAAGGTGTTCTAAGGCCTTGGAAAAAATGATCAACTATAAATTTAAAGGCAGTGAAAAGCCATGCAAAATTAATTTCCACTAGTACACTCTCAAAAAAAGATAGCACTTTACCATGAATCCTATATAGAACCATTTCATGCTTAATACACTGTACAATAGAAGAACCTTTTTTGGTGTTATATAGAATGAATTTTTCTATATAGAACCATATACAACGCATTACCTGTCAATGTGAAGAACGTTTTTACCATGCAAAAAAACTTCCTGTAGTTAACTAACAATTTTGATTCCAATGTAAACATAAAACAAACTTTGTTAAATGGAAACTTTATTGAAAATGTGTACTTATTATTAATTTCATTTGTGGAACATAAAACTGGACCATGAACTTCGTCAGGACTAAGACAAAGATCCTTTGCATCAATTCAGAAAGAATTTTCAAACCTTTGAACCATAAGCTGTGTCAGTATTGTACATGATTTTCAATGTTTTAATGTAAAGGAAATCAAGGTGATTATTTAACAAGACAAAATCTTGCATTTTAGTTTCTGAGAAGTCAAACAAGAAAAGAAAAAAAAAAGTTAAAAGCTCTGCAGGGGGCATGCTTGAGGTGATCGGCCATGGCAGCGTCCATCTCATGAGCTGTGGCTTTGTTGTTCCACTTCAGAACTGCAGCTAATATAAAATACAAACAAGACTGTTACAATTAATGCACACACAAAGCACTAAAATCTCTTGACAAAAACAGACAGATCTGTGGAAGGTGAAAGCCATTCTAACGTCATACTTATTACTTATTTAGTCTTACTTATCAATTAATAGTCACAATGCCACAAGGCCTTTGACAGCTTTTAATTCACATATATTTAAACCTTTCAAATCTGAAATATGTTTCCATATAATATACATAATATTTTCCTGTCTGCAATGTAGCCAATAAGGAGGCAACTGATAATTACAAATCTATTTTTTAGTTATTTTTAAATGTTTATTTCAGTGGGCTTCTAAACAACTGCAAAGTAGTGATGTTGTGATATGTTCTTTTAAATGCAAAGGGCTTGAGCTTGTCTCTAATTTTATATACTGTCTCTAATTTTATATATTCTCATAAGACTCATGAGATTTCTAAACTCTGTACTAGACTGCTGGGAACTGAAAAGCCTCTCTCTTATTTTGGTCAGTGTTTATTTGTTAAAAGAATAAAGCACAGTCCAAAGAACGAACTGGGTAGTAAATAGTACAGAATGCAGCTATATAACATAGGAAGCATCACAGAAAAGCTCAGTATTATTATTTGACTTTTTTATATACCTTACAAATTCCAATATCAAATTTGACTGAAATGACTACAATTAATGATTCTGCTTTTTTAGTTTAGTATTGGTGTTAAGTGTAACATTGCTCAAACACTAGAAGACAATATTAACCCAGATGTTTTTCCATAAATACATCCCTAAAACTTCTCTCAACCCTCTCAAACCTCATCTAGGTCTCCATTGGAGTCAGCAGACTTGTCAGTGTAGTGTAGGACACAGAATGACTTACTTTGAACTACAGAAATGAACAAAACCTCACCACTACGGCCATTTTAGGCAACACAAAGGCTGCACAGGACTGATGTTGGATCAGTAATTATGACTGTCATTTCCATAAAAAAACGACTCTAGCTCAGCAATCCTACTCCTGAGACAGAGAGGTCACCCACGGCACTTACTCTGTGATGACGTTTTGTTCACTTTTATAGCCCACAGTATGTCATACTGTGTTGTACACCACACTGAGAAGTCTGCGCCACCTTAATGAAGACATGAAATGATTTAGGTGAATATTGACTTTTAGTGTTTGTTAGAAATGTTAGCTTCACAGCTCCATTGCTAAACTAAAGACACAAACTTTGGACACCAATTATGTCTTGGCCAAAAGACTACACTGGGGGTAAGCAGAAAATTGTTTAAATTTTATATTTTGCTGAACCATTCCTTTAAATAGGTTCTTAGTCATAAAATGAGTGTGGCAACTGATAACCAGGAAACCTGTACATAAATTGTTAACACATTACGTTCTATTCTGTTTGCGATAATACTTACTTTTTTAACTTGTGCACATTATTCGACCACTGCCAGTATGTTGTTGTGGCACACAGACAAATCCAGTCAGCTTCTGAAACAAATATTTGTTTGCAAAAGATGACAGTCAGCTACAGTTAATTCAGTAACTTATCGCTGATAGGACATTTCATTGTCTAATAAAACCTCACTAATGATTTCAACTTGTGTAGCCAAAGCTGATGAACGAAGCATCAGAATGACGGCCACATTTCCACTCTCCTACCAACATCTAGAAACACAGCTGTAGCTTCTGCAGCTGTATAAAAAAAAATAAGCTAGCTAGCTAGCTAGCGTTAGCTACTCAAATGACCTAGCTGCATAAGCTAACTACTTTCAAATTTGGCAAAATAATCATTAATTGTGGTACTTCGTTTCAAAGTAAAAATATGCTCCTGGCAGTTTTAAAATGAGCCTCGAGCTATTCATGTAAGTGACTACAAGCTTAGATAAATATAGCTAATGTAGCTCAATATAGCTAACGGCTAACTTTTACAAATGAGCCCGCGCAAAAATCCAAGATGAACGCCGACGCAGACGCTATATGGAGCGCTACATTCACAATATACAGCTGCTATTCACGTTAGCGTTTTACTAGAATGATAATTTGGGGTGTTTCTAAGAAGTTATTAGCAAATACTTATACAGGGCAACAACAGAAACAGCTAATGTCAGAAAACGTGTGTTGTCGTGATGAATCAATAGCGTTAGCTAGCGAGCTTAGCTTTTATCAGGACCTTCACCATCAATCACACTGAACTGAGGGGAATAAAATGACCGTTACCTTCGTTAATAAGGTTTTAATTCGCTATAATCAGCCAATACAGACAAATCTTTAAATCTGCGTTAATGACGTGCCCAACCGACCGCTATGTTTCCCGTAGTTAGCACGACTGTTCAGCACTAGCTGACCTTAGCAAGACAGCTTCAGCAGCTGTATCAAATACTAACTAGCTAGCTAGTAGCTGGCTAACATTTACATTTACAGCTAACGTTTACTCACCTGGACCAGTGTGGACAGTAGCGCTGTGTGCTGTCGGCGGCTCGCTGAGGACTTTCTCAGACGAGGACCTTCCATAGGGGCAGTGATCGGTGTCCGTTCAGATGAATATCGCGGCTTCTTTAACCCGCTTGATACATCCAACAAACCCACAGCGCTTAAATGACAGGACTGCCTTGCTGACAGTGGAAATGCAGCTGCAAACAGGATTGCAAATATTCATTTTGGCAGAGCTGAAGGGCCATGATGACGAAATACAATAAAATGGGCGTTTTTTATGTCAGAGTCAGACCGTATTAAGATAATGAAAATGAACGGTCAAAAACGCTGCTTTTTATATTAAAAGTTTTCAGCTATTATACAGTACTATAAATTAAATCGCAAATAGGTTTGCATTCAAATTCGAATTGTGTCTTAAATAATGCACACTGCTATGAGATATGCAATTACAAACACCATTTAGCACTTGCATGAAAAATTTGAAAGAAGTCCAGAAAATATGGAAAAGCTGATGGCACCATGTTAAATAATGACAACCACACTCCATGTGACGTCATATGGCATGTTCTTTACACCATAAAGACAAGTGAAATATTATCAAGCTTCAGCAATCACCATCTAACATAACAGTAAGCCAATCTATATTTAACATTTGGTATCTTTGAGAAAAGAAACATAACAATCTCTGGACTGGAATACAGAATTCTTTTTGTTGTTTCTTCTTCTTACTATTACTATTATTATTATGATTATTATTATTATTATTATTATTAGTAGTAGTAGTAGTAGTAGTTGTTGTTGTTGTTGTAGTAGTAGTAGCAGTAGGCTAGAAGCAGTGGTACTGGTATTGTTATTATCATGATCGTTATCATTATTTTTGGGTTATAGTGAAACGTCCATTGACGTTATTAACAGATCACCAATGGACTGACTTTTTGAAACTGATTTTGGACGTCTATGGACGTTATTAACGGGTCACCAATGGACTGACTTTTTGAAACGGATTTTGGACGTCTATTGACATTATTAACAGGTCAGCAATGGACTGACTTTTTGAAATGGATTTTGGACGTCTATAACATGTCCCCGACTGACCGACTATTTTTAAACACATTTTGGACGTCCACAGACGTTCTTTGTTTACTGGGTAGGCATGAGGGGGTACCTGGCGTCCCAACAGGTTTGGCCTCTGGGCTGTCTGCTTCAGTCATCAATTGTCACATTCCTCCTCGGTCACTGAGGGGTGCTGAGTGGTTTCGGGAGCTGCTGCGGGGTGTCAAGGACATTGTTGTGATGCCAGGGAGCCTGGAGGCATTCTCTGTGTGGCTGGGGAGTGTTGAATGGGTCCTGGAGGGCCCCGATGCAACACCATGTGGTGCCAGGTTCTGGTGTAAATTTCATACATCACGCCTGAAAGCCTTTCCACCATGAGGCAGAGTCCCATCCATTCATGGTCCCACTCAGGAGAGCGACCTTTCCTGTGTATTTTAAACCTGCCACACTCCCCCCTTATCTCTGGGGTGCAAAGTCTGATAAATCTCAAACTTATCCTGGTGACTTATCTCTGTTCTTCACCTGTGTTTAAAAGTAATGATACAATAGAAACAAAGGACATTAATCAGACAGCTCCTCAAGACTGTGTGCTTTTCCCTCAGCAGCTCCAAAGATTTTAAAGTTGAAGATGACACAGCATAAACAGTCAAGTCTAATCAAGTTAAAGTTTATTTATAAAGTTCTTTTTACAACAGGCGTTGTCACCAAGCAGCTTTACAGAAAAATCCAGGTCCAAGCTCCCATGAGCAAGCCAATGGCAACACAGTGGCAAGGAAAACTCCCTAAGAGCAGGAGGAAGAAACCTTGAGAGGAACCAAGACTCAAAAGGGGAACCCATCCTCCTCTGGTCCACACAGGACAACAAAACAGTAACACAAGCAAATTGAACAAAGAATACGGTTTTAACATTAGTATAAAATATTAAAAATACAGAAAAGAGGAAACACAGTTGAAGCAATGACAAAATAAATCAAGTCTGTGCAGCAGCAGTATCATCAGAAATATTGTTCATATGTAATGGTAACAAGCATACAGACCAGGTTGTGGACCTGGTGGACTAACTTGTGACCTGGTGCAGCTTTAACAGTTTGGAACTCAATAAGCCTCATTCACCAAACCGTTTGTAAGAAGTTGTTTCTTCGTAAAACCCACTTAGGCAGTTTTGAGATTCACCAATGTTTTCTTGGTCAGAACAGTTCTGCACTTTAAGAACACGTCATGAATCTGATGTAGACTTTTTCTTAGGACCTTTCTCAAAAACACATTTAAGAACAAACTTGTGAAGACACTGGTGAATGACGTCCATTATTCTTGAGACTGTAGAGATGATTGTGAATTTCTGAAGTGCCATACACAGATCAATAGCAATCCTATCTTAAGACCTGAAAGAGTGGGTAAAACTGCAGAGCATGATCCTCACATTCTTAGTACAGTTAGTATAATTTTGAAATATATTTCTGACATATTTCTAACATATTTAAAATTGACACAAATGCAGCAATTATCAGATTTGTGAAGGTTGAATCAAAAACCTAGGACTAGTTTGCAAAAACTGCTAAAAATCTAAGCGTGCAGACATACTAAAAGCACCTTCGCATACTTAAAATTTCTTTTTTTCAATTTAAGGGCCCTTTCTAGAACCTTTATATATATATTTAAAATGGCTCTCCATACTCTCATATCTGATTTACCAAAATGGTTCTCTAAAGAACAAACAATCCACTGAAAATTTGGTTCTTCTATGGCGCCTCTAACGGTGTACTATTCATAGTGCATTTATTTCTGTTCACAGTCTGACTGATTTTCTTTGGCCGACAAAAACATCAACGGATGAATGAATTGTTGTATTTTATTTAAGACAATAATTTGGTCAATGTTATCTTCATACGCAGTCTGACATTAAATGTATTTAGCAGTACAGCTTTTGCTCGATCGTCTTTTTATTGAAATGTGGGTGAATTCTTCAACAAACATCTAGGTCTGCTGTGGGGGTGGGAGTTGGCTGCCTCTATGCAGTGGGATTGGTTATCTTGCCCAGGAAGAGAACACTCTTGGTTCTGTCATCCACAATGAAGAGCAGGAAGGGTCTGTTGAGGTTGATGGTGGGTGGCCCGGATGCAACTTTTACTGCCACAAAGGTGGCAGCAGCTGCTTCAGTGCCCTTCTCATCAACTTTAAGGACGGCCTGATGAAGGACCTGCGGGGAAGTCACCCACACAAGAGGTGAATTGTTTGTCTCTAAACGTCACGCAACTACATTCATTTCCAACTCAAATTAGAATAAAAGCATGTTTTACCCTGGAAGCCTTCAGTTTGGTCTCCTCACTGATCCCTGAGAAATCTGCAGTCTTGGAGAATGCACTGACTATTCCCATTTCCTCCAGAGTGTCCGCAAGTGAAAAGGAGGCAGAGATGGAGAACTTGGGCATGAAGAGATCCACAACTCTGCACAGTGAAAAAGAGGAAGTGACAATCACAAATTCATGATTTTCTTATTCTGTAAAGATTAACCTTTATTTATATGTCTTTCTCATTTTCAGTGGTGTAAGGTCTGCACTCTTTTAGCCATACTGCTGTAATACGTGTAGAATGTGGTTTGACATTGTCTTGCTGAAATAAGCAAAGCCTTCCATAAAGAAGACTGGACGGCAGCAGAGGTCACCAAAACCTGTATATATCATTCAGCATTAATGGCCTTTACAGATGTGCAAATCACCTATGCCATGTGCCAAACACCCGGATCATCACTCCTCTCACCTCTCCTCTTTAGCCCAGAGGCTGCAGCTGATTTCCAAAAAGAATCACACAGGACAGAATGACCACAGGACACTTCTCTGCCAATTAACCACTGGGTGTGCACTGAAAAACTTTAATAGTCTTTTGTTGCCCTGTCCCAGCTTTTTTTGATAAGTGTTGCTGGCATCAAATTCAAAATGGGCATATATTTTTCAATAACATTTCTCAGTTTCAACATTTGATATGTTGTCTTTGTACTATTTTCAGTTAAAATAGGGTTTCAATGATTTGCACATCATTAGATTCTGTTGTTATTTATATTTTGCACAGCATTCCAACTTTTTTGGAAACAAGGTTGTAGATAAAATACCATGATCTGAATAAAATAACAGCACAGTTAAACCAAACTAAATATTTTTTTAAAGAAATACCATTTTTCATTTGGATTTAAAAACTTTTCAAGCTTGCATTCTAAATATACCCTGTAATGTTATACTGTTCACAATATATTGCTCCATAATAAGAGCAATAGAGATCCCAGGAGTTTGCAGTAAGCAGCCTCAGCTGAGTGAAGTGGTCCAGAAGGACTATAACGCTTCAACAGATCATTAAGATATGCTAAACATGGCCATTAAGAGCTTCAAATGTCATAAGCAAGACATTGTAACCAATAAAAAAATATCAGGAAGCCAATATAAACTGAATAAAATTAGAGCAATATGCTCAAACTGTCTTTACTGGTGACCACATGTGCTGCTACAGTCTGAAGTACTTGGAGCCTATAGTATGTGTAGAGCAGTAGGGCTAGCATGTGACTTATTTTGGATATATTCCAACAGTAATAAAATCTTTTCAATATTACTGATATGAGACTCCAATGATGAACTAGCATCCGCAGTGACATCAAGATCTTTTCCTGCAATTTCTTGTTGCACTGAAAAACTATTAAGGTCAAAAGATAAAATCTGCAACCTTATTTTGGCTTAGAGAATAATAATTTGTACTTGTAATATATTGTTTTTAACAAATATGTATTACTTATTAAGGCTACTGGTTTCCAATGTTCTTGTTGACATTAAAAGCCTGGTGACTGAGATTACCCGTTGTATAATCTGTCATGCCAGTACTTGAGTTGATCCTTGCTGATGTTCTTCTCCACCTCCTCCATTTTTCCCTCATCAGGTAGAACAATCATCATATATGTGTTGCCTCCATAAGGAAGCAGGATGATTGAAGTGAAATTCTTCCAGTCAAAGTATACTCTAAAATGACCAGATCTCGCCATCATGTCCACAGACACCTTGGTGTTCTGATCCACGTTGAAGTCAGCTTGTTTGGTATGCTTAATTTTAAAAGGCTTTTTCCATTTACCTAATAGGACGGAATTCAAAGCTTGTTATTGTAATTGATCTTAAAACAGGATTTATGTGATAGATATTCACTTATGATGCAGT